ATATACCAAACATAGTTGTCACAATAACTAGCAGCAATTTCATAGATTCCATATGATAATTCACTATGGCATAGTTTTGTTTAATGTAGAGGGTTTTGATAATTCATTGAACCACTTTGATTTTGATAATAGATTAGCTTTTTCTTGAAGTCTCTATATTTTCAACATTTCTTGTTTCCTTGTGAAACAAATAAAGTAACAACAATGACAATAAACTCTGTTTCGGCACCTTTCCTTAATATAAATATATATATTACGTATATAGTTGTACATGTACAGTGTTTCATATAATCGTGTAAAGTAGGAAAATTTCTATATATAACGATCTATTTTTTAACAAATGCTCATGATTTCGAAAATAATATTTTTTTGTTGTGTAATTCAAACCTCAAGATTTTATTTTATCAGTAGGTCGAGATTAATGATGTAGATTTATTATGATTTTAGAATGACGTTGCCTTTTATATACCGAGTATGGGTATTATTTTTAATTTCTCATTTTTAAAAAGGTTCTGCCTGATTTGATTATGAGGGGATGTCATAATTTGATTAATTAATTTAAAAACCTTAAAAATAGTCCGTCATTTATCAACCAATCATCAAACATTAAAATTAATTCACTGCGCCACCTTATTGACCTTTTGAGAAAGTCGACATTCAAAAGCTGTAAATCAAGTTCAAGTTCAAATTCCTATTCTGTTTTGAAAATAAATAGTAATTAACACAAGCTTTTTCAAAGCAATGATTTTAAAACAAAAAAAAATTATCTCATTCCACTGAAAGAGGATGTTTATCATGTAAAATGTAACTTTGGAATTTAATGAAATATTACCACTTAGTCATGATTCTATAAAACGGATCTTTTAACTTTTTCAACATACAGACATTCATGAAGTGCAAAAGAATAATTATTGTTTCATTATAATATTATGCATAAATGGAATCATGTTTTTATAATGCAAACATGTGATTCGGTAAATGAAACTTATGCAATATTATTTATTATTTACCCGATAAAGGATTCTTAAAATGTTTCACCAATTCTTTTGGCATTTGATCCTTGGAAATAGCGATCTAGGAATGTTATTGCCCAAAACCTTGGGTAAACATAAGTATCTCTCCCATGATTTCTAATTTCATATACTGTAAATCAGTTTTCCAACTATACTTGTGAGCATCTTAATCCTATGCCTATTTCCACTGTTCCGTTTACCGAATCCTGATCATTCTCCATTGTACCAATCATCAGACATGTTAAAGATTATTAAAGTTTCAACGGAACCAAATTCATGTCGTACAAACATTATTGCTCGATTACTGCGCAACATTCTTTACAACAAACCGAACCTCATGACAAATAAACAAACGATTTTTTATGGAACGCTCGATAATTTGCATTTAGCGTACAATATGTCGCATGGCCATATCTTTAACCTTTTCAAATAAAAAATAAAAATAATCATGCAAAACAAAAAGATAAAAACAGTGTGTTCATTAGGATTAACGAAGTGCGCATATTTGTTTGGATAAATTAACTAAAAGCGGTTAAATCAGTAATTAAGCAGTTTATTTTTTCGCGCATTTGAAACGAATTAATTGAACCAATCAAGTAAAATCACGTTTATCTGCTAGCATATGAAAGGTGATAAAATTAGTATATAAAATCTGCCCAGCTTTGGCTGATTCTTAAATCCCTAATTTGTCATTTAGAAAAACTTAACCCCCCAATTAAAAATGAGAGGATGTTACACTAAATGCGGTCGTAACCTTTTTTAAAAATGTCAAACAGTTTGCTTTTTTTTTTTATACTCCTCCTTTTTTCTCACTACTAAACAAAAAGTTAAATCGATCGTCAAAAAGCTTTCAACCTACTAATTATCAAACATGGGACTGCTAAACTTGGAGGAACAACTTACATTTTATGGAAAATACCATAATAATGATATCAACAAGATGATCCATATTGGTATTTCAATACCTTTTTACTTTGTTATAGATTTTTGTTGTAAAAAAAGAGGAGACTTTGAAGTTTTGAAATCGGATATTCATTAACTTTAAAAGGATGATTTGTTCTTTTTTGTCTAGTGTGTGTCCCTCTCATCGTGTGGAGCTTTTTGGTTTGGGCCGCAAATACAGGACCATTACTTCCTTATGAAGAAGATTCTTTATGGAGACTAACACCGTTTGAACCAAACCTTGCGTTGTTTGTGGTCTTGATTTATATATTTTATTATCTATTATTGGAACCTGTAGCCGGGGTGGGTAAATAATTTAATGTTATAATTGATCAATTTTAAAGGGAAATTTCAAAATTTTTTCTTTGTGATTTAATAATGAATCAAAAAAAAAAAAAATTTGATGCTTCAGGCACTTTACACACCATTACTATTATTTATGGCATATAATGCCACGAACTTTGCCTCGTCATTCCCTGACAATCACAATTCCCTTGCCGGAATTGTTCACGTTACCTCATGGATTTTGCAGTTTATTGGTCATGGATTCGCCGAGAAGAGAAGCCCGGCTTTGAAAGAAAATATAGCTCAAGGTATGCGACTCACGATCCCAAATGTAATAATACAATGATTCGTCTTTCACAATTAACTAATCCTTTTCCCCCGGATTACGTGTAGCTCTTCTTCTCGCGCCATTATTTATTTGGTTGGAAGTATTATTCACCATGAGATATCGTACTGAGCTTCAAAAGAGGATAAAAGAAAGGGTTGAATTAGCCATCGCGAAAGAAAATAAAGAATGATTTAACACCGTCTAATCTCTCTCCCCCACTCTTTTTTTTTTCCTTATCTGGCACGCTTTTCCTTACCTGACATATATTTTTTTTACTCGTTCACATTTCATTGTTATTACTACTTAATCTCATATTCGAATTTTTTCTTTTCCAATATCATGATTAATGTATAAGAATTATCAAAAGAAATTTATATATACATGATGAATATATATATATAATATATTACCATGTGACTTTATTTTTTTTTGTTTCTTACTTTAAACCGACATGGGAATAAAAAAAAAAAAAAAAAAAAAAAAAAAAAAAAACCAAGGTAAAGTTATTTTATAAAATATTCAATTGAGATCATTAAGGAGATTTAATCATTCGATCTTATTTTGACATTTCATGAAGACACACAAGTGGCATCATGTTATTAAAATAATTTCCCAACTCCAAAAAAAAACACAATAAATGATTGCATTTTAAATATCGAAAGTTTTCGAGATTAATTTTGTCGGACAAATTTAAGGTTTGAAATGATTTGTGTTACCAAGATCTAACTGGCTAATCGTGTAATAATTTTAGAGGATGTTTGGAATTTAAATCTTATCATCAATGATATGAAATTTTTTATTTGTAAATAGCTATTTAATTTATTTAATTTGTAGATTAATCAACTTTAATAAATCTCAGGGGCGAATCGGAAATGTTATAACCAAAAAAAGAAAGAAGAAAAAAAGAAAAAAAAAAAGTAAAGTATACTACGAAACTCTGATCTATTTTTAAATGTAATATGAAATGTTAAAATTTAAACAAACATTATTGAAGGAAAGCAAAACGTAACTTTATTCAAAATTAATAAAAATAATGTGATTTGAATACATGATATTTATTTACATGCATCGATTTAATATTGATTGTAATAATAAATTAAAAGCTTTTATAAATAGTTACCTTGTGTAAACATACAAAAGATATACCAGAATGTACATAAATATACATATATGTACGTGTATATATATATATTTTTTGAAAGCTTCGTTAACTATAAAAAATCGACAATGATGGCTAATTTGTAAAATTAAATTCCGTAATAATAGATATGAAACACGGCACATATATATATAAATATATATTTTTTGTTTATCCAAACGGAATCCACACACAGATCTAAACAATTCTCTTTATGAAAACCCAGGAGGAAAAAAAAAAGAACCTGATGTTCATAATCATATAGGTTTTTTAATGAACCCAGCCAGAATGGTGATTTAATACTTTTTAATTAATAAACAATTGCGGATCGTTTGATTGTCAAGTTTATTTTTAGAGATCTAAAAACAAATTTCAACGGGCAATGGTTATATTTATTTATAAAAAGAATCGACGCCACAAAAGCCCCAGGTAATTTTCCCAAGGGAAAGGTTCCTAATCTACGATCTTGTAGTATGCAAGATTCACCTATGAAAAGGATAGGAGATAATCATTTTTTTTTTTCTTTTATGAATTACAAGTTTCAAGGGTGGGAAACGAACTTGGGTCGTTCAGAAAAAAAAAAAAAAAAAAAAATGAATTAACTCTGTTTTGACGATAAAGATAAAATAAATGCAGGAGAAAAAAGATCTATTAATGGATTATTATTTGCGGGGTGATAATTTAAGTAATATATATATATTATATATATTACATATACTTTTTTTTAATAATTCATAGCTTAATATAGCACATGGTGATACGAGCTTTTCTTGTCACCGCTCTAGTTTGATTTTCACTACGCCACTATTTAATTGTTTACGTCAAATGATACACGATTATTTATTAAAGTTATTTAAATTTAAAGTAAACCTATATTTAAACGCATTTATTTAGGAAATTCCTCATATGGTGTTGGTCGAAGTAGTATGCTATTTTTGAAACATTCAACATATAAATAAATATATATAGTACTCTTAATAAATCGGGTAAAGGTATAAAATATATCCATGTCCAACTAAAATAATTTCGTCTTTGAACAAAAAAAATAAAAAATAAAAAAATAAAAATAAAAAATATATCCGCGAAAAAAATAAAAAACTTTTTTCCTACCCGATGTTTTTGAAAAATCATACAATTTAATTTCTTTTAATAAAAAAAAAAATAAAATAAAATAATTTTCTTCCCTCTCTTTTCTTCATGAAGGTTATTAATAATTAGAATAAAAAAAAAACGCTTTTTTAGTACATACACCTATATATAATATCATTTCACTTTTTTTAAAAAAAAAAAAATAATGAATTCAACAGCCTCATCACAGACGAACCAGTCAACAGCCGATCTCACACAACAAACCTTTGAGAACGAAGGATTCTCGACTACAGCGGAAAAAGGAGGTGGTTTTTTAGACAATACTTTTAAAATGACTGGATATCGTAAAAGACGTTTATCAAAATTACCGGCTCCAGTTATAATTCCTCCCCCTTCTCCTATTATAACTGCCCCTTCACCCGTCAGTCCTACTAAGAGTGATTCCTTCATAGACTTACCTTCTCCAAAAACTCCTCAGAGCCCAACAAAAAGATTTGTTCTTAAACCTATAACCGCGTTAACCGCTGCTTTTCAACGAACCACATTAACAGGTCGTCGATCGAATTCGTCAACTTCATTTTTGAAATTCCCAAAATCTCAATCCAACAACAATCCAAAATCACCTAAACCTGCTTCCTCTCCTCAATCGCCAAAACCACCAAAATCTCCAAAATTATTGCATCGAAAAGGAAGTAGTGGATCGATCCGTAAACGTTCGGAAAGTCCTACAAGTCCCGCCGTTGCTACCGCCGCTTCTTTCCTTTCTCCTAATGTGACTCAATCCCCGTCGAACGCTTCCAAGTCTTCCTTCCTTTTTGGAAAATCTTTCTCTTTATCCGTCAATACTTCCATTCAATCATCGGCTTCTAAATCCCCGTCAAAACTTGGAAAGTTGAACCTTAAATTACAAAAATCCCCTTCACCTTGTAGGAAAGCCCTACCAATGGTCCCTTCAGAACTCGCTGAAAGGTTGCGCGAATCATCCTCCCGTAGCGCAAAGGTTGAAGATGAATGCGTTCGATACTATTACGATGAGAATGATTGTTCCATTATAAGACCAACTATAACTAGGTCTCCCAAGCCTATCCTGATTGACGTTCGCAACTTACCTCTGTATCAAGATGATCACATTCGTGACTCTTTCAATGTGAATTTACCTACGCTTTTGATCAAACGATATCGTCGTGGAAACATGAGTAACTTCTCCCTGGATTCCTTTATCACGACACCCGAAGGTCGTGATAAGTACTTGGACACGATAAATGAAGACGGTGGTAAATTTCATCACGACGTGATAATTTATGATGAGACAATGGATGAAAAGGACAAGGTCAGTCCGGGGTGGACCTTATTAAGCGTCTTGGAAAGGTCAATGTTGAATTATCACTCCTCTTCGTCATCTGATAGTATTGATGAAAAAATCGAGATTCCGAGAGGAAGGGTATATTGGCTTCGAGGAGGGTTTGAGGCCTTTCGTTCATGGGATCAAAGAGGTGAATTCACCGTAACGGGATCAGATGTTGGATCTTCCGATAATGATGATGGCAATTCAATGGAATTCGATCAAGATCAGCAACAAGGGACGAATTTGGTTCGTAGGGATTCATTGTTTTCTGTGAATACTGAGCGAAATTCTCTCAGGCGCAAAAAAAGTGGTAGGCAACCAAAGCCGGAACAAATTTCACCACCAAGTTCAGATACCATCGTTGAAACAAATAATATCGAGCCTGTTGAAGTCTCACGAGAACGTCGTCCCTCAAACGGATTACAATATCTATTCACACCATCTAGCGGTAAATTTATTAAGTTATATTTTGTTTTTTTTTTATAAAAAAAAAAAAAATGAATTTGCAAGATATTAATTTTTTTTTTTTTTAAATACATTTCATCAAAAAAAGGTGAATCTTTATCGCTCTATCCGACTTGTTCATATGGTGTACATGATTACCCTAATGGCAACCAATTTGATCCTGTCTCACCAATCACCCCACCTCCCTTAACGCATCCTGAAGCCGCATTTGTGGTGTCTACTATAATACCTGGATTTTTATATCTCGGTCCTGAAATCACGAAAGAAGAGGAAGTGGATGAGCTCAAAACTAAAGGTGTAAGGAGGATTTTGAATATGGCTTTTGAATGCGATGACTGTTTAAGATTGAAAGAAAAGTTCGATCGTTATCTAAAGTTAAATGTTAAAGATTCGGTTGAGGAGGATGTTGAAAACGGTTTAAACGTTGCCGTTGATTTTATAGGTATGAGTTTATCCAATTTATGTTTTATTGAATAGAAACCTTTTTCGTTGTGATATTTACTAACGATGACTTTCCATTATTTTCATTAAAACAGAGCGTGCTCAAAATGATAACGCACCAATTTATGTTCATTGTAAAGCTGGAAAGTCGCGATCTGTAACAGCGGTTCTGGCTTATTTGATCAAATCACGTAATTGGACATTGAAACATGCATATGATTATGTTATGGATCGCCGAAGCGGGATTTGTCCTAATATTGGATTCGTTGCAGAACTAATGAGAGTCGAGGAAGTTGTACTTGGCATTAAAAGAAACTGTGGTGCGGTCACCGAATTTGATCTTCGACGGAAAGAAGACATGATGGATATGGAAGGCGTTGAGCCATTAGGCAAAGCGCCTAAAACCGCATATTTTTGAAGCGCATTACATGTTTATTGGTCACGTAAAAAAATATTCCCCATCACACACCGCACACACATATATATACATACACAACTTTTTTCGCTAGAGTGAAAATAGTCATTATTAAAAAAAATATTGTAATTTATCAAAAAAAATTTTTATTGAAAAATATCCGGCATTCATGTAAGAAGATGGATTGATTAGACAATAATACTTTAGAGGCTGGATATATTTGTTTATTTATGATTATATCTCTTTTTCACATTGAATTCGATAAAAAAAAAAAAAAAAAAAAAAGAATTAGACACATTTTTGTTGTATTTTACAAAAAAAATTTTTTATACATATTTCTTTTTTTTTTCTTTTTCTGTAAATAGTTTCTTTTTTTCCAATTTTTTTTAATAAAAATAATAATAATAATAATAATAATAATAATAATAATTAAATATTTTAATTAATAAAATTAATAAAATGTCATCGCGTGACGCAAACCTATGGTTTCGGAATAAATTATGTTCATGTATGACTGAATATTTATTTATTGTAAATGAAAATCCTAAAAATATAACAAAATTTTAAAATAGTAATGACCGAACAATAGAATGTTTATGGATGGTTTCTTTTTAAAAATTTGTACTAAAGGTTAAATCCATTAGCTAATAAGCTGTTAATTATGTTTATTTATAATTAATTTATTTCAACCCTAAATTTTCAATTAAAAACAAATAATAATAATTAATTAATTATTTTATTGATTATTATTGATTATTGATTATTGATTATTTCTATTTCTATAATTCGTTTTGACAATTTCTGATGAACCTTGTTGTATGGTTTCTTAAAAAGTGTAACAGATCTTCATTTCTTTCTTTTTAGAAAATGTAGGGATAACTGTTAAAAAGAAAAGGAAATGTGTCATTATTTTTTGTTATGATAATGTTTACGGTACAAAAAATTTAATGTTCGTTCGACAAGAAACCATTACTTACCATATTTCGTTAAAATAAATGGCGACTTTTTTTGATGTCCCCCCTTTTTTTCAACAGGCATAACTTGTATCATCTATTCATCGCACGGTACACCTAGATTTCAAAATACAAAAAAATTGATCGGAATAATTACCAAATTGTAAGTCGTGTAAATGTACCCCTGGTAATTTACATATCAACACAAATTATTTTACGATTTGATGTGGTACATCATAAAGAGTAAAAAAAAAAAAAAAAAAAAAAAAAAAAAAATGAATGATGTATGCTGCAATGCACCTGCGTGGACGGTGATTTCTTTTTAAGATTCCAGAATCAAAAAGAGGAACCCGAATAATGCCATCCATTTTGATGGATAGATCAAGTCTAAAATTAGCAAATGCTGGCAAGCTAATTTTTTGACATGATATTCGCTCCATTTTAGTTTGACTAAAATTTAGTGTCACATGGATAAATGTATATAAATAGATATTATATAATTTATTCACCCACCCCATTTGGATGTCTTTTACTAAACTAAAAAAAAATTTTTTTTTTTTCCAAACGAAAACTATTTAACGAAAACGACAATGGTTAGTTATAATCGTTTTAGGAAATTTATATAATATATATTCGATTTCAGAAATTCATTAAACCAATTTCGTTAAATCGAACAAAAGCCAAGAAATTTTATTTATTAATTCGCCTAATTTTAATCATAATATCAAGTTTAAATTCGATTGTTGAAATCTGGTCTTATTTAACTGCTAAAACAAAATTTAGATTGTCAATTGTCATTAAATAAATTTTTGTAAATTTGACTTTTTTAGAGTAACAAAATAAAACAATGGGATGATGAATACGAATTAATCATTATTGGCGCTGGAATCGTAGGAAGTGCTTGCGCAGCAACATTTGGTAAACAAGGAAGAAAGGTCTTACTAATTGGTAAAAATTATTAAATCCTTTGTGTCATAATCACGTAGTGTGGCATGAATCCGACTAATATATACGAAATTATGAATATAGAAAGAGATCTAAGTGAACCAGATAGGATAGTCGGAGAATTACTACAGCCGGGCGGAGTGGCCGCACTAACAAAATTAGGTTTATCGGGTAACCATTTTTTGAACAATTATCTCTGTTTTTTCTTTAAAGAACAAATAAAGATGGATATATTTATATTATATTCCTAAGATTGTCTGGAAGGCATTGATGCAATCCCATGTCATGGATATGGAATTTTTTTTAAGGGAGAAAGAGCACATGTAATATATCCAACTTCAAATGGTAAGCCTTCTGTCGGTAAATCATTCCATCATGGTAGATTTATTATGAATTTAAGGAAAGCCGCTGCTGAAACTCCAAAGTAAGCGATATCAACTCGTCATCTTCGGAAAGGGTGGTTGAAAAATGTTTTGTTTTATAACTTTGAAAATCATTGATGATGTCATTGATGATGTAGCGTTAAAATATTTGAGGGAACGGCGAATGAAATGATTAGATGTCCAATGACCGAACGTGTATTTGGTGTTATGTGCACACCTAAAGGACAGTCTGATGTTAACAAGAAGGTAGATCACACGACATGCCCGTCATTAAGAACGTTAATTGGAACTAAAGATTTTAAACCTTTTTTTTTTTTTTTTGTTCTGCTTCGTGATAGTTCTTCGCACCACTTACCATTATAGCAGATGGATGTTTTTCTAAATTTCGAAAGGATTTCATTTCAAAACAAGTCGTCGTAAAATCTAATTTTGTAGGATTTGTGATGAAGGATGCCGCGTTACCCTTACCGAATCATGGGCATGTTATATTGGGTAGATCCCCGATTTTAATGTATCAGATTGACACGAGAATGACTCGTGTATTGGTCGATATACCTGGTAAATTGCCAAGTAATGGTGACGGATCTCTCAAAAGACATCTTGAAAGTGAAATCTTACCCATTATACCAAAAAGCGTACAACCATCCTTTAACAATGCCTTACAAAGTGAAAGGTTAAGAAGCATGCCAAATAGTTTCCTTCCCCCTTCTACTAATGTTTACGAAGGTTTGATTTTGCTGGGTGATGCCATGAACATGAGACATCCTTTAACCGGTGGTGGTATGACGGTTGCGTTTAATGATGTTGTAATATTATCTGATCTCCTGTCATTCGTCAATTTGCCGGATTTTAATGATGTTGGGTTAGTCTTGGCTCAAATGCAAGCTTTTCATTGGAAGAGAAAATTTTATTCAAGCTCGGTTATTAACATCCTTGCTCAAGCGTTATATGAATTATTCGCCGGTGATGGGGATGAAAACTTGAGAACGTTGAGAGAAGCCACCTTTAATTATTTGAGGTTGGGTGGTGTTTATTCTTTTGGCCCATGTGGTTTATTAGGAGGGTAGGTGCCTTTAAAAAATTATCTTGACGGAAAAAAAAAAAATTTCCTCTGGTCTTTAATTCTCAAGTATTCCTCTCTCGCGTTTAGGTTGATCCCGAATCCGTTGGTTTTAATTGGTCATTTCTTTGCGGTTGCCATTTATGGAATTTATAAATTATTCAGCGATGGGAGGTTGATAGAATTCCCTCAAAATATTTCGAAAAGTTTTTTTGTATTTTATACCGCTTGTTTGGTTATATTACCCTATATATGGTCCGAGGTTTTGTTCTAAAGGTTATAGCACGGACGGATATATTATTTATTTCTAATCCCGATCTTTATAATTTTTAATTTAATATGTGAACTTTTCAAACGATTTACATGAAAAATGGATTTCTCAAAATAACTTTTCTTTTTAAAGAAATAATAATTAAATAAATAAATGAAAAAAAAAAAAGTAATCCTAAATTAAAAAATGTCATTGAAATATCGGAAATGAGATCTCCGGACAAAATCCACAAAAAATAAGAATTCTTTTTTTAAGAAACATTGTGTTAAAAAAAAACCTTTCAAGTTAAAAATGGAAAGTAATAGATGAAATTGGGCTTCCGTTTTTGAAATTCATTGACTTTCCATTTTTAGAATTTAAAATACTTAAGCAGCTGATTGTAACTGATTAGCTCATGAGCTTTATAAATTGTTTCAGGTGAATCATAACGATAATGCTAGGCAGTCATTAGTTAATACCCTTTGAGCAATTTTTATGGATTAACTAATCAAGAATAAAAAAATTCACTTCTACCTCGAAACGATGCGATGATAACATATTCTCTTTCATACTTTGATATTTTAGATATTTTACCAAATCATACTAGCATACTTGTACGGTCGCCTTTTTCGAATAGTTTTATAATCAAAACGTTGGGTAACGCGATGTAAAGCACTATCATCCTGCATAAAATAAAATGTATGAAAATCCATTAAAGTACTGAATTTTTTCTAAGCCCTTTAAAGTTGCAAGGCGATATGTTATGTAAGACTTTTATTATTTTTTTTTTTAAGGGTGTCAAGAGTTAAACTTGAATTTATATTTATATATTGACAGTATTTATTTAATTTCATCAAAATACTTATGACGAGAAGTTTAGAAGTTTTTTAATAATAAAAAAGTTATTTCATTATTAAAGTGCTGTCCGAAACTCTTTCCGAAATTCAATTCCGAAACCCGACGATAAATTTTTCAATTTTGCTGTTTGTTTATTCATAATTAAATTTATTAAGAAAAATTATAATAATAATTTCTTTTCAAAATTATTTTTGCTCTCCAATTTCTTTTCTTCAAGTTTTAAATTATTTAATAATACAAATACTTTTATCAAATAAATCATTATCATTTATCTTATTAATAAATAAAAACGTAAAATATTGAAATGATTCTTGTAAATTTGTATATGATTATTTGACATTTTCAATTACAATTTATAATATTATTCATTATTCATCAATAACTTCTGTTCCTTCTATTCTGAAGAAGTTTTATGATACTAAAAAAATATTTCTAAAGTAGTTTATTTCATTAAATTATTCTTTTTTTTTCTAATAAATCTTTTAAAAATACTAATCATTATAATATTATATCTCTTACATTAAACTATTATATTCTAGGTATTATAGTCTACT